ACAGCCGGAGCACCCTGCCGGGCAGGAACAAAGACGGAGGGCAGTGCGAACAAGGCCAGCACAGCAGCCGCAAGGGCCACCCACCGCGCCATCAACGAACGGGCCATAGTTTGTGACTCGGTTTGAAGGCCGCTCTAGAGACAGCTCTGGGCGAAAGAAACTCAGAATGAGTCGCTTTAAAGTCTAGACTTCCAACTTGGCATTCCTGTCAGAAAAGGATATCCCGTTGACCAAGCATCTGGTAACTTTTTCATTTGGCATCGTCTTGTCTCCGCACTCACGAAGCCATCTGCCTAAAATGGTCAAATCATGCTGGGCCATATGTTACACTCTCTGTCTGGTCTGATCTGGTCCGGTCCAGTCTTCTCTTCTGTTCTCTTCGCTTCGCTTCTCTTCTCTTCTATGTTTGACGCTCACTTCCAAATCATGATGTGCTATTTACACTAGCGGCCTTTCTCTTCTCTTCTCTTCTGTTCTATTTTCTCTGCTCTGCTCTGCTCTTCCCTCCTACTTCTCTTCTCTCCTAGTTCTCTTCTTCTCTCCTTCTTCTCTCCTCTCCTAGTTCTCTTCTCTCCTACTTCTCTCCTACTTCTCTTCTTCTCTCCTTCTTCTCTCTTCTTCTCTCTCTCTCTCTCTCAACAGCCCAGCCTTCATCAGGTGGTAGCCAGGTAGTAGTCTGAACTTCAGACAGTGCCACAAAGCCTCAGGCATTGCAGATACAAAAAGCAATCAACTCATCGTGCAGCACGAGTGGTGCCCAGCAAACACCTTTTTGCATGTCTGCCAGATTCAACACACCGCATCCAGCATGGTCTAAGAGATCCATCAATGGAGAACTTGAAGGAACCAGCCGCAGCTAATAGCTGTTGCCAGTGTCCGGTTAACATGTTCGCCGCAGGGCGCTCAAAATCAGTGGCGGCTTCTTGCCTGCCCTGGCGCTGATCAAATGGCGCAGAGGAGCAACGTTGGCTCAGGAAGCAACACAAACTATACGGTCTCAAAGGGACGCATCAATGCCGATGGTTCTTCATCCCTCTGGTTCCAACTTGAGCCAACCCTTGCAAAAGTCTAGCAAGCCGGATGTAAATGCAGCCTTCTCAAAGCTTTGCTGCATCTGCTTTTCTCTTCTTTGGTTTGGGCACCAGCTTCGTGCTCACAGTGTACTTGGCATCCAAGCCTTCAATATAGCCCTCAACTAGGTCGCCCATTGCCAAAGGTCCCAAAGAGCCTGGTGCGACCAATGGTACAGGGAACACAAATGAGCTGGGCTGGCCTGGCTCCGCCAGATATCAGGAAAACTGGCTCAATGCTAGTATATATTCTAAGTTGATTAGGCAATCATCTTCCCTTGCATGCGCCTGCTCCGGTCAAAAGGATATCACCTCGCTGGAGTGGAGTCAATTCACTCGCCTGAGCATGAGCTTTAATTCTGCTGAGGGCCCGAGCCATGACAAAAGGAAAACCGCTTGGAAGTGAGATATGCCAAAAGCGATTCAACGCAGCAAGTATCAAGCCGTATCCTTTCCCAAAAGCTGCAAAGAATTGCAAAAATAACTAGGCTTTGGTGTAACAAACCCTTGGTCGGTGGATCGATTGGTTGGTTGGTTGGTTGGTTGGTTGGTTGGTTGGCTGGGTGGTTGGGTGGGTGGGTGGGTGCTTTGTTTCAAGAATACAGCTTCATGATGAGTTGCAGCAGGCACCTTCAACACTGCGGGGATCTGGGGCGTCAAACCCACCTGCCTCCCCAGAAGTACCAAGTTGCTAAGTGGTAGATCACATGGATGTGGATTGCGGGGTGAGTGACAAACCACAAGCCATTGGGATGGATGGTCATCTCAGACTTGGCCAGTTTGTACCGTTGGAAAAAAACCGGTTGGAATGCCAGACAACAGTCACTGACAGTGACAGTACGCCCAGTCTTGCCATTTGGCCTTGGCCCCAGCACAGGTCCTAAGGCCGTCGGTTCCCGCCCAGTGGAGCCGAACGAGGTGCGTCAGCCACCTGCTCTGCAATACTGAACTTCATCCGGCTGATTTCATCTGAAGCGACCGTCTTCCTAAGGCAGGTTGGCACATGGGAGCAAAACTCTTTGACATTGATCCTTTCAGTCTGAAAGAACTCCCTCTACCCACAGGGCGTCATAGATTTGTTGCATAGATTTGATGATGTGTCTTGTAAAGTCTCGTACTGTTTCTTGGCCGTTTCAGCTGGAAGACCCACCTTCTCTTGGGGCCAGGGCACCCGTTCACCCGGCAGCCTATGCGCACCTTCTCCGGGTCGGGGAGCTCTCCAGCCGGAATAAAGCGGCCAACCTTATGAGCAAAGGGTTCAAAAGTTCACTTGATAATAGGACAGTGGTGATTGTTCAGTGATTGGAACAAGCACTTGCATGTCTTGACCAAAACACCGTGAGTTGTGTCTTTTTTCGAAAACAAACCCTTTGCAGGGAACTTCCGCGAGCTTTCGCGGTTGCCAAGGGTGCCTAGGCGGTGCTTGGATCCTTTAGTGACTTTAGTGGCACTTACGCGAACGCTTTCGTGTTGAAATTGATCGATGCTTTTGGGCTAGGCAATCAACAATTATGTTGCTTGCGCCATTGCGCCTTGCGCGTTAGCTTTTGCGGTTTGAATGCTACAACACAATTAGTCGGGTGCTTGCGCAAGGTGCCAAAGCACGTTGATGAGTTCCACCGCTGAGGAAAAAAACTTTCATTTGGAAACAAAATGAAACAAACACACTTCCCCTGTCACCATGAAGTCGAAGGCGTGATGGCTTAGGCATGAACGTTTGCTACAAGAACCGCGGTTCAATCCCGCAGCTGGGCCCGCAGCTGGCTTAAAAGAGCTCTGGCATTTGTTGCGCGTCCAAGACATTCCATACCTAACTGCAACAGCTGAAGCAGATTGACTCGATGCGACATGGCATAAGCAAGCTCAAAAACCGACAAATCCAACTGCCACATCTGGCGGCTGGATGCTAGCTGCTACAGTGCTACAGTACCCACAAATGTACCCAGCAAAACGCGCTGCAATCCAAATCTGGCCCATGCCGACCTTCGTGGTTCGAAAGCTATTACTAGGAAACATGCTCCATGCTGAAGGATCAAGCTGACAAAAAAGCCCAGCCACTTCATTGTTTCGAAGCCTAGCACCACTCAGGACGAAGGACTGGCTGTAAAATCAAAGTCTGTCTGTACAGCTCTCCTTTGGGAGAGAGCTGGACTCTTGGAATATGTCAGAGTCTGGGACAACTCACACAAAACCGCAAAAGTACAATCAGGGAGGTGCCTAGATTGCCCCCGGTCAAATCCAGCACGACGCAGTAGCCACCCACATAGTTCATGGCCTCTTCGACGGATAACTTTTCGCCTCGCGTGCAACACATGGGCCCGACTCTCGGGGCAATCAAAAGACAGTTTTGGCAAGCTGCATCGGTGTGAAATCACCACCTCAGCCGGAAGCCACCACCGCAGCCGGAAGCGCAAAAGCAGCGAGAGTCAATCGGTCAGACCGCGTGAGCATCCGTGAAGACTCTTTGTAGGGTTTGTAAGTCCAGGATGGCCATTATAGAAATCATGTGTTGGATTCTTTTTGGATACTTAGGTTTGTGTCCACCAGCGGTGGCTTTATTCTAGGAACTTAGAAACTTGAAAAAAAAAACGAACAATAAAGAAACACCAAAAGTGCAAACCAAAAAAGCACAAGCAAAACCAAGTGATAGAAAAGAGCGACCAAGAAGTCAAAAAAAGCAAACACTTAAAGCACGGAGCAATTCGTACAGCAGCACGGAGCTACTACTGAGTAACTACTACTAAACTACCACTACTACTCCTGCTGCTGCTACTTACTACTACTTACTACCCGCACCCTAACGGCAGATTCTTAGGGTGGAGGCCATAGCTCTTAGGATGGAGGCCATCGCTATTAGGTTGGAGGCCTGGAGAACTCATCGCCTCTGCTACCTCGGAACGGGCCATCAGCACCTTTCGTTCTACGACCCCATCTGACCTGTCAAAGCATCTCCTTCACTCAGTTCGGTGAGTTAACGAGACAAGTGGCACCCATCTCCGCTTCCCACATCATATGCACACCTTCAGGTATTTCACTTTGCCCACCGCTGGCTATCGCAGAGCTCATGGGGCAAACAAACCACTCCTTGGAGGAGGGGGGTCGCAAAAACCCTCTCTAACGACATGTTCTGATGTTCACCCTGGTGCTGACTCACGCAAGCTTTGAACTTTGCCTGGTGGGCTGTATTGTTGTGGTCCTTCCGCCTCTGTCGGCTGCACAATAGTGTAATTCATTATCTGTGAAACACCTAGGTTGCCTATGAAACCAATTACACAAAACCATTTGCGGTCCACGCTCTACAACTCTACAAAACATTCGTCCCATGCCCCATTGATAAATATTATGATATTGATTAAGAGGCTACAACTCCGATTCGGCCAAGCCACTGGTCTCAGAAACCTCGGAGGAAACAGCAGCTCTACTCCACAAGTTTGCAACATCCACATCCCTACACTGCACCCCTGCCAATTTCGCCAACCAGCAGTTTGTTCCAAACCTGGCATGATGGGAACCCCGCATCTCATTTGACCAATATGGAGTCCCGAGCAACCAGTACAAATCAGTTTCATAAAGGAGCGTTTTGAAGCGTTCACCAATGACACCTATGCCTACCTCCGTGTCTGCCTTGACAAGCCACAAGCAAACGCAACACCAACATGTGAAGGACTTCTCTGCTACCGTGTACATGCTGGAAATTCAGCATTGAAAAGGCCCTTTTCTCACACAAATGGCCTCATTGTTGCTAATTCATGCCTCTAGTTTTACTTGCTCAGCTGAGCTGCTCCTCGGCCTTTTTTTGTACCAGTGTGCGATCTGCCGGTAGCTGCTGTCCACGGTGGTTGCCTTAGTTCTTGCAACTCTCGAACCATGTAACAGCAAAAGCCAAACAACCAATTCACGCGCCACAAATGGATGCCAATGATATGAGTTGCAGATGGTTCCCAGGATCTTCTGACCCTCCATCATTGGATAAATTGGCATTGTCACTTCACGTCGTGCCACACGATCTCGCCTCACCCAAGCCATTTGGTCGCAAACTCACTCTGCTGTCAGGCCCGTGTTTGGCACCAATGCAATCAGTGAAAGCAAGACACCAAAATGGGCGGACAATTGCGAAAGCCACGGCACACTGTCAGCGTTCTATAGCAGGTGGAGATCACTGGTGTTGGGACACCCTTTGCGAGGCCCATGCGATGTGCCGAACCCAGCCTGGCATGCACTCCAAGACATGAACATCGAACTCTGCAAGTGTTGCAGGTCACAGGTTCACAGCTAATGACCTGATCCACCAAATGCATTAAAAATCTAAAAAGCATACAACGTCAGACAACAAAAGTCCGCGTTCTAGAGGAAGACCAGGCCAGCTGAATCAATTCAATAGTGGGTCTCCTCCCGACTCTTAGGCAGCTGACCACCAGCGATTCCTCTCAACCTTGTCCAACCCCGTTGGATAATTTCTATTGGTGCTGGTGTCACACCAAAGGCTCTTCACCCAACTGCAGCTGAGAAGCAAATCTTCCAGCTCGCTATGCCTTTGGCGTGCACCAAACTTTTTAATTAAAACAATAGCTAAGAAAAATGATAATGAAAATTAGCCCAGCTGGAGACCCCAATAGCAAAATACAAACCGGGACAAAAAGAAAAATCTGGAAACAACTGCTGTTTTCAACACATCGACCATCTCTTCCTTGGACACCATCATCACATAACCGGGACACCATCACATGACCAGGACACCATCAAAACACGACCGAGACACCATCACAACATGACCGGGACACCATCAAAACATGACTGGGACACAATCAAAACACGATCGGGACACCATCAAAACATGACCGAGACACCGTCACAACATGATTGGGACAC